TACTCAATTTAATATTCATGATTTATGATTAAATCATATTCAATCTATTAGATCAAAATGCAAACAAAATCAAATAACTACAGCCCCGTTTGAAGTTGTAATATGTTTTAATATTTTAGTTTTGAATATTCATAGTATTACAGCTATATAGTGCATCAAACATAATATTATTAAGTATGTCCATTAGGGCGTTATTGTTTACAAACAAAATGTTATGTAAAATATGAAAACAAATATAAGGTATATAGGTATACATGTATATAGGTACTTACGAAACAGGGTAGGTACTTACATAAACATTGTAGGTAAATATGATTCTTACATATTATATTACCCATATTAGTAATTCAGTATGTAAAAGAGTAGAACTATAGTTGGCACGTTTTTAGTATTTTTACGTACAATATATTTATATATATTATACATATTTATAGCGGCAATCGGAATCATCTAATGATAGCTACTGTAGTAACTACTAACGAGTAAACGGAAAAAAAATATTTTTTAAAACAAAGAAGATCCATTATATAGGCTTATTTATAACATACCATATTCTCATCTACAAATTTACAGCAGAACACAATAATTGTCTGTAAATATCACAGCACACACATGGAAATTGTTATCAGATACATTTTAAAAATTATCAACACAATTTTAGTTTTTGGAACGTATTCCATAAATACTTATACCTATTAGTTTTTTATGTTGGTTTTCAGAAAATAGTTGTTGAAACAATAAAACAACTAGAAAATATTCATGCAGCAGCAGCAAGCCAATTGTTTTATCAACATTTTACTTGTTTATTATTTCGAATTTTAAACTCATCGGAGACAGTTGCATGACGAGAACTATAAATATAAATTTTGATTTGGATTTGAGATGGATTGGTATACAATATTTAAATTAAATTTTTTCTGATTTAGCATCCGATCAGATACATTACTACCTTATACGAGTTGAAAGTTTAATTCTAAATATTTGTTTTTGAAAGATGAATTGCGATAATGGAGTAATATGGATATGATTTTGAAGACAAAATAGTCAAATAATTTAACTTTTTGTATGTGAGCGGTTTACAGAATACTTTTATTTTTTTACGATTTATTAAACTACCTATGAATGTTATTCAAATGTTATTCATATAATGCCCTGTACAAATAGTTCAACTACCTATGTATAGGTATTAGGTAATACCTATGTTATGACATATTCAGGTTAAATGTCAAAAACAATATTATGCATTTATGCGTGTTATCAAACTGATATTTTTGAAAAATTGAAATTGATTCAGATAGAATTTACAAACAAAGAGGTTTGTATTATGAATAGGTAGGTATAACGGCAATTTGAATAACCAATAAAATGTATAAGATATAGTAGATATTGCACAATCTACTGCACTTGCGCTCAATTATTACACGGTGATCCATTTAAGTGCCTAGGTATAGGTACACTTATTATTTCAAAAAATTACATTTCTCACATTTTTTTATTGTTACCATTTTTGTTAAAGTTTTTTACGTTTTTGAATGATACGGTGAATTTGTCATTTCATATTCTCTCTCATCTTAACTTTAAATACTCAATACTAATGAAAGCTGAAAGCTTGTCCGAGAGCTGATAGGTATTTGTAGATTGAAATACTCCAAATAATGTTTTGTCTCGGACTATGAAGTGAAAATAATATAATATGATGTCATTCCAAAAAGTGAAAAACTTGAAAAATTATTAGGTACGATACAATTATTGAAAACATAATTTTTTCAGTAATGTCGTTTTGAAATCACCTACATCAAATTACAAAAAAACAATACTTTCAAAAAAGTTAAAACTTTTCGGACTATTTAGTGTATACACTTAAATATGTAGGTACCTACCTACCAACTATAAAGTCACATTATTGTATAATATATGTTGACGTTTATTAATTATTATATTAAATATAACAAATAACATATCAAATACATAAAACCGCTCTCGATGTGAAATAATATGTATAATATGTAAAATATATGTATTGTACCAATGCTCTGTTTTATAATCTACCTATACGTAATATGGACCGCATATAATTTATTATACAATAACCGCGATCTACATCATCGCTGGACCTTGCAATATGCATGCATGCTATTCCTCTAACCTATACACATAGATATACCTATGCAGTATAAATAATAAATATATCCAATATTATGAGTTATGACAGAGAAATTTTACGCTCATTTTTCCCCCCTTTGATGAGTATATTACGTACGAGTACTTACATACGTTGGTTGTTCCAATTATGTACTATGTTATATACACCGTTATGGAGTAGGCACGAACAATAGAATTCTCCCCCCCCCCCATCCTTCGCGGTCTTCACAGTTCGTGTAAATTATGATATTGTGTACAACTTTTGTAGTTTTTTATTTTCAAAGAAATTCATACCGGCCAAAAAAGCCGTTTTTTACTTAGTTTATTATACGATCATTAAGAATTATTGATAATATGATCTAGGATATATTGTACCTGGCGTCTTGGCGTGTATCTAGTTAGATAGGTTTAGAATTGATTCGTTTCAAAACTGTTTAATTTTTAAACGCTATTATTGTATGATAAACAATTGACGGTAAATAAAAATATTGAATTATTAATAGGTAAAATATAGCCTAACTACTTATAAATTATTGAATTTAATTCATCTTATTTTTGTTCTAAACATTAGTAAATCATTATCTTTTATTAGTATAATACATACTTGTAGCTTTTGTTAGAACCTCTGCAATGACTACGATGTAATATCTATATTCTATTCAAATATCGATCAGTTAGAAAAATTAATTGTTTTATTTCTACATTCTTATTAACATGACGTGGATGACTTCACTATAAAAGTCATGATCTACGGGGCTACAAATTAAAATATTCATGCGTAGAAATTTTATAAGGTTTACATACAGGCAATGAGGTAAGTGAATGCATTTTTGAATTAAAATATGCCAGCATATGGCCATTGTCTTTAAGTCTTTAAATATGTTAACGGGTTCAACTATATGAAGTTAATAAAAATTAGCTGTATTATTACACAGAATCGTCATATTTTATTGTCTTACATAAATTTGTGTTTTATTTTAGTTTGTAATTATATTCAAAAATTAATATGTTCATCTCCTATTAATAGTTTTCAATGTTTCCATAGTTTGATGATATATTTATTCGAATTCTGATTTGAACATATTTGCAATTACTTAATAATTCTTTATACTATTTGTGAAGTTTCCTATAATAATATAAATTTTTTTTTAAACGAGAACGACCCTTTTAGATTATGAGAGGAGCGATGAATGTATTGATTTTACAATGATGTGCTTTTTTTATATCTGAAGACACTTTACAGTAGAAAAAAATGCTTCAATTTTTAACTTCAATATTTTTTCTGGTAGGTAAGTGAATCTAGTTAGCACTTCAGGGGCCAAAAGTAAAAATTTCATAGTAATTTTCTTAATAACACTTGGAAAAAAGGAGAATCTTTACATAAAACTAGTTTTTGACTAAATTGATTTTCTTATTTTGTTGTAATTCAAAAACGAATGACCGTATAGATATCTACTTGTAATTTTACCAAATTAAGGAAGTAGAATATTCTTTAAGTGGTATTATTTTAAAAATATGCTCAAAATAATCTAGCCATTTATATACGTTTGACACCAAACTATTCGATTTTTATTTAGTTTTTTTTTTTTTACTTAATATCAATAAAAAAATGTTCTCTAGGTTAAATTGTTTGAAAATTGAATACAAGGTTCCTAATAATTGTTTATTTTACCTATTTAATGATATTAATGAGACATTAGTTTGATTATGTTTAGAAGCATTTAAAGTTGAAATTTGTCAAAATTACGATCATTTTCCAACTAAAAAATATAATTTCCAATTAATACAGCAAAAGCTTGAAAATTGGGTACAATATGTTCTTCATAAGTACCTACTTCATACTGGAATCTACACAAATCTAATAAATATACAAATACAGTTTGTTTTTATAAAAACTCTTAGTTCGAATTCAGACAAGATTAGATATTTAAACGAAGCATTGTATTCTTTTTTGTCTCATACTAATTTAAAACTTTATTGACTATTGATTAATTAAATTGTTTAATAGTTAACAGATTTTTGACGTTCCTGCAGGAGTCGTAGGATTTTAAAAACGCCACGGGGAATCCCTTACATTTTTAAAATTTATTATGTTTAAAATTAAAATCTAACTATTGAGTTATAAATATAACCATTACTTTGCAGTTGCTTACCTAGGTCCATACAGTCACTATAATACATATTTAATATAATAACTAATAAGTAAACAAAACAACATTAAATTCGAATGTTATATCTTTTTGTGCTTTCCGAGTAAAATATTATAGATGACATGATGGTGGTACACCTATTTTGAAGTATTTTCTTTTAATTATAAGTAATATTTTTAAGGTGCAGAAATGCAGAATCGATAAAATGAATAGTGGTCATGCTCATAATTTAAACTTTTCGAGTACAATATATTATTTTATATACTTTTAAACAATCACCCGTCGTTTAACCATCTAAAAGTGTTGTGTTTTTTTTTTAATATGGAAACATAAAATTGCCCGGAACATACAATACTTATAAACACGTGCCTATACCTAGGTAACAGCGGTGGGAACCTCTACGGCTCAACGGCTGTGCCTATGACAAATTAAAAATTCAAGGTGTATAATGCATATTATAGTCGCCTGCAACTTACAATCATGGATAAATATTATGTAGAAATAAACGAATTGGTAATAATAATAATAAATAGTAATAATAATTCTAGTATTAGACTCGCGAATTGGTTTCCGTGAAGGTCTTCGTCGATGCGTTTGTAGGTCACACGCTGCGACTGGCCGCTTGGGGCACGTCGGTCAGCCGGCCGGGGCGGATAGCGAGTCATCCACACCGCCGCGCCGGTGTTTATGTTTTTTTTTCGGTGAACCTTTCATTTCGCGTACCAGTGATTGTGATAGTCTTATCATTCTCGTGCGATCCGTCTGGTGCTCGTCGTGCTCGTCGCTTCTAACCGGGATTATTTTAAAATCGTAATAATATTATTATTACCACACGTTAATATCCGTTAGTTTAACATTTTATTCGCTGCACCCGACTGTCGATGATAGAAATGAAACGACGAATACGATACGACCGATTAATTAATTTCACCACACTGTGAATCGGACGTGAACGTCGGACATGAAGGTATGTCAATCGCGTTTAAAATGATTATTAGGTTCCTACTATAGTTTGTGTAGCGCCTTATATTTGAGCAAGGGTTGGCTGTTATACTGTGTTATTAGGCAGGTACCTAAGTTTTGGAATGTCCAGATCATGTTCTCCACAGGGTGAATGATGATGCATAACAACACCACTAAATAAATAAAATTGGTACCATTATTTTTGCCACAATAATACACAATAGTGGTCATTTAATGAGGATATTGATTATTAATAAATCATAGTTCTACTTCATTGAATATTACAACAATATTTCTATTTGTATATATGTTAAACCCATGTACATACGTTTAAACCTAATTTAAGCATTACAAGTTCAATTTAACTACCTACTTACATAGATCAAATCTATGATATTCATTTCTAAGACATGCATTTTAATAGGTATTTGTGAACTAATCTAGACTAACCAGAATACCATAATTTTCAAAAGGTATTACTGTTTAGATGTCACCAATATGTTTAGTTATTATTTAATATGTTATTTATATACGAGTCGTAGGTACTTGTTAAAAAATATATCTAAGCGTATTTGGAGTTCTATTGTCAAATTAAGTATAAAAAAGTTTGTTTTGAGTTTTAAATATTTAATTTGTTATTGTACTTATTGCAATTTGTATTTTTTGTGATATTGTTGAAAATATAATCAACTAACTAATAACCTATCTAATAACTATGAGGGTAAAAAAGCTAATTATGTTTTAGGTATAATTTTCTTACCTATCAATTTGTATTTACTTTATTAACCTTTTCACAAATGCTCAGCAACCTGTGTGTTATATAAACTGCAATTTTAGCCAGAGTTTCCTAAAATTGTATGGTTAACGACAAATGATAATATTATAAAATACAGAAATGTAATAGTATGTCTTTAGCAGAGAAAAGGGTTGAACTAATAATATTATATATTTCAATAGAGTGTCTTCCTTGATTGGTTTTAGTTTAAAATTGGTTTAAAATGAACTTTTGGTAGGCAGATAATTAAAATAATGCGGTAAGCCAGGTGGTAAGTAAATAAAATACTAGAATAACATATTGTATTTACTACTTAATTAATACAGCCATTTAAACTTCTAATGAAACAGTTTTCATCATTATTAATTTTTATCACAATTTTGCTAATGGTTTTCATTATTTTATTTTATTATGCAGAGCAATATTTTGTTACCAAATTGTTTTGACTGCCGTTGTAGGTAGTGGGCTAAAAAATAATTATTTTGGTACTATATTATATCTCTTATCAATGGTATAAAAGCAATGTTAATTCTAGGGTTATTACATGATATATGTTAATTAAATAAATTACTGTTTGATGTAATCGTATAATCAAAAATATTTAAATATGTGTACCTTTGCCCTGTGTTATAAATTGTGTTTAATTATGAAAAATAAATACATTTAATCAAACAAATATCATTATGTTTTAAACAGAAAAATAACTGATAAACTTTCTTAATATGAACTAATAGCCAACAAGACATACCAGATAATATTATATTTTTATTTAAACTTATTTCATATCATCTAGTGACCTAAACATTTAAATGTCCGGAAAGTTTTCATTAATTTAGGGTTTTATTTGATAGAAAACGTAAGGTGGAGTATAGCTTTTCCCATGCCTTGATTTTTTTGTATATTAATTTTGTATAGGTTATCCAATACATTTTTTAGTTTTAGTTAGTTAATAAAAAAAGATTTACTTCAATTGATCATAACTTTTAACCGGGCAGATTTATGAATAATATTAATATTAGATTAATACTAATACCTACTTAAGTAAATATTCAATGTAACGTTTCATCATAATTAATTAATATAATTGTTGAAGACAATTAAATTGGGCTCATAGTTTTAGTGGATGGGTGGTTGAAGCCTCTCACGGCAATGCAAGGTTAAACATTTTAAAACCTTCCTCCCTTGAGTTGAGCTTCAAATAAGTCACTGTTAGAATTAAGTTATTTAAATATAAATCCGAATAAGAATTAGGTATCTACTATGAAATGTTTTTATACTAATTATATTAATCCTAAATAGTAAATACTTATTCTAAATATAGGTACTACGTTTCGGTCTTCAATAGTCAATGCCTCCATCAATACCTATGTAATTTTTAGTGTTACCAGAATATGACATAAGGCAAAACACTTGACACTGAAATAGTACCTATTTCAAGGACAATACATTTATTTTTTAACTCAGAAGTAAACTAATAAGAATCACTTTTACCCAAAGACCAATGGCCCCAGAAGATAGCTTACAATAATAGATACTCAATTTTATTTGTGTATTTAATTTACCATGACTGTTGAGTTAGTGATGTGGAAAAACATAGGTATACCTATGTTTTTACCTTGTTGGTATTCTTTTCGTCCAATATAATTTGGTACATTTACTTATGTTTTTTTTGTTTCTTGGCAAATTTCATTAAGCTTGTATTATATATATTTTCCATGTTTCATTATTCAATGTACCTACCTACTTATATTCTGTTGTTTGTATCATTGTTGTTGGAAATCCCTGTGGCGGTTTTTTTTAATTAGTCATCTGTTTGATTATTGTTTTGTTTTTTTTTTTTTTAGAACGAAAATCTCTTGTTGCCATTTTATTATTACTTTTTATTTTGAAAAAAAAAATGTTTTTGGAGTATAACTAAGATATTATTTCTTCTATGTTTATTGTTATTATGTGCATTGTAAAATTATAAATGTAATATGCAAGCAGTTACCTAATTATTGAAATAATAATTGATGGTTAATTTGTGACCTTATTTTATTAACTTTTTAAATACCTAGTCACCAATTTTATATTCTAGCGAAGTGAGGAAGAGATTGATTTTACAATTATCTGTTGTTTTTTTTTCGAAAATAATTTCATTTTTTGAGGGTTTAAAAATATTAAGCTTTTTACACTCATTTAGATTAATTATGAAAAAAACAGATTGTCTAATTTTAGAATATAATTTATAAGTTTTCAAAGAAAATGTGAAGATCTAAAAAAAATTGTAAGCAAGCCATAACTGATATGTATTCATGTTTTATAATTTTTCAGTAAATCAAGTTTTGCTTAAATTCATTTTTCAGAGTGAGTAATAAAATGTGCAAATTGAAAATTATAAATACTAGTATACTAACTTGTACACTACCATACATTATCATAACCACTAAACCACCCCAAGTAAAACGAGATAAGGTAGTGACTAATGAGTAGTGACCGATACAGAAATCGTTTATTTGATACTTATTTTGGAATTCAAAAATTAATCCAAGATAAGTGTCATAAATGGGTGGTAAAAATTTGGATTTTAGGTTCAATGACTAGGTATTTTAAATATTTCAGGTTATTTATACCATATTGTAAGTTGTAGCCAATTATAGTGTAGCAATTGATACTTGAAACGAAGTACCTACACATTATTGTGAGTCCATTTTCGCTCAAAATTGTCTTACGGACAATACCTAATAGTTGCTATAAGTTAAATGTTGTAGCTTATAACATTTAATCTGAATACATGTCCTGGCTGTGACCTATCTCTATCCGATTTCTAACTATTTTAAAAATGTATGAAAAATTGTTTGAAATGAGATATCGGTGCGTTAGAAGAGAAAGTAAGTGGGGTATATCGTTTTAATAAAAGTTATTTCAACAGTTGTAAGTTTATTGATTTATTCATAGTCCAATTATAAGTAGCTGCTATATACTTCTCAATTATTTTTTTCTTATGTTAAAATTTTGATAGATTGAACATCTCATTTGTATAAAATAATAAATTATAAATTAAATGAATAAATAAGTAAAGACATCATTCAACTTAAAATATTTTTCATTGTACTATTGTTAAATATTGAATATATTTGATTTATTATTTTCTTACTCACGAGTTATACAATGGTTCAAATAAACTCATCGAATAACTTATGATTGAAACTCTAAAGTCATAATGAATGTTTTTTTTTATCTATGTTATTTATTCGTAAATACGATTCTACATTGGCTTAATATTGACATTACACTTAAATAATTAAGTACTTTTTAAAAAAAGTATTGTGTTATAATATAATGATGTATAGGTCCATATTAATATACTATTATATATCGAGACTACTTTAATTAAATAAACACTTTGTATTTTGAATAATTTAACTTTTTTAGAACATAAAACACATGCAATTCTGATGATTATTTTGCCCTTATTTTTGTCGGCGAATCAACTTTAAATTGTTAACAACCTATATATTATATTTTAAATTTCACAATAAAAAGCAGAATGCCTTTAATAATGTCGTATAAATATCAAGTTTTGAAGCGAAAAATTAAAAAATGTATAAGCATTTAAGTTGTATTGACGATGTTTTAGGCAATTGTCTAAATAAGTTTGTAGTACCTACTACATACCGCTCTTCTAACCTTAAGATGCTCATTATTAAAACAAACAATTACTTAGTTCAATATTTGATATTTATATACGTCAATATGTTTTGAAAAATAGTATGCTTCAGATTATTAAATGAAATATGTATGATGATCGTTCATTTTTGGAAGTCATTTCTAAGTAATTAAAACTGTTATTTAAGTTACTAAATTATGTTGAATTTACAATGTTCCTTTAAAACTACTATGTGCGGTGTTTAATCAATCTTTGTATTTGATTAATACGTTCAACCATAGAGCGTAAAGTCTATTACAATAAAGCGGTTTAGATGAAAATAAAACGGAAATCGATTGTCCACGGTGTACTAATTATTTATTATTATACCGGAAAGCCGGTTAATTGATTACCTCCCACAAATTACTTGAATTCCTCTGTTCTTGATTCAACTGATGACAACTACTATTATATACACTATATAAGATCTATTGCAGGGACCTTAGAATATTACTTCAATCGCAAATTTTATAAGAACCATTTTTACAGCTTCAGAAGTTATTGCGTCGTAACAGATGACTTGACAACAGATAATTTAACC